AGATTCTTCAAAACTTATCATTGTTATCATCGAATGAAATGTTTGAACAATTAATGTCTATCATGATATTTTTCATTTGATGTTACAGAAGAATTAAGTTCAACTGCTACATCTTAACTATTATATAACAAGAAAGTTTTTTCTATTGTAGAAAACGATGAAAGAAAAAAAAACTAGAAATTAGAACAAGGACTAATGGAACTTGCTTAAGATCTTTTTCAATAAAGGGCGAGAGACAGAACAACGAAGCAAAAATAATAATAATAATAAACCAAAAAAAAACACAATAAGAACACTATTTGTCTTTATTATATTGTTCATAAGCAAGAGCAGCTGCTGAATGTACATCGATTTCTTCGGTTTGACAGTTGAATATTCTTGATAATTCAATAAAAAATTCTCGAGTATCAACTTCCATATCCGATGGAAGGTACAATCGATAAAGTCGAGGAAGATGATTTTTCTCTGATAATTCACCATAAAGAAGAACGTTATTTAACTTATGTGGAAATTTACATTGAATACCCATTGTTGATTTGATGTACTGCCAAACAGATTCTTCTTTTCGAAGAACATTTTCGATAGAAGATTTGGATGGATTGGCTTTTTTTCCCAGCTGAATTGAAATATGTGGGAAAGTATTTCATCAACTACACGTAGAAAAAAGGTTCCAAAAGAAATCTTTGTGAAACTGAAAAATGGAAAAACATACTTTTTCTTTCATTCAAGAAATAGAGAATAAAAGGTGGCACATTACTATTACTTTTTATTAGTATTACTCGGTAATTGGTAATAGTTATTATTACTTTTCATCAGTAATTGCTTTCTTCTTATCATTCTAATGCCAGTATGATGCATTGATTACTTCTATGTATTAAAATACGAAGGATTATTTTATAAATTTATTACTATAACTTTTATTACTTTCAAATTTTTATTTCTTATTACCAATAATGAAGTAATAAAATTTGAAAAGGAATAAAGGTAATTAGTAAGAACGAGTAAAACTTATTACTGTAATAAAATAATAATAAAACAATAAATACAATATAACATATATAAGAGCGTATGATTCCTTTCTACATTATGTCAAATGTGAGTGTCTCTAATCGAGTGAAAGGTTAAATGGTTTACGATTATATATTAAACAAAAACACCAGCCGTTAAAATATGCAAGGGCTCTCGACAATCTAGCCATAATGTCTTAATCAAGAAATAGGAACAGACTAAATGATTAAAAGTAATTTTATTGTCTTATTTGTATATTACTTATTACATTCTTATTACTTTATTACTTTTATTGATGGTTATTAGTCGTAATTAGTAATAACAGCTATTACTCTTATTTCTTTATTACTTTTCCAAATTATTACTTATTATTATTAATAGAAATGTGCCACCAGTATGAAAAACTAACCTCCCAGGTCGATCAAAACGGACCACCGTAAAACGGCCGTTTAAAGTCGAATTAAGGCGTTTTAACAGGGGCAGTATTACGGCCATACACGGACACCGTATATCAGCCGTAAAACCTCGTAAAGTCGGCGTAATATTATCGTATTCTATAGAACATNCCTAAATTTTCAAGATCTGTTCACTTATCTGTACCCAAGATCTTGGCCAAGATCTTACTTACAAGATGTTTCACTAGGGTGTGCTTCAATTCTATTTGCATATATTCATAAAGCATGTTCTGTTGAATACTAGTAAGAAAAAGAATTCCATCAATTCCAATTGATGAAGACTTTGATTGGATAAAATTATTTATTTGTTTGACTGTTTTATCATATGTATCTGACCATAAATATTTCTATTGACAATTAATCTAGAACATAGACAAGCATGAAGTGTTCATATTAAAATTAATTAATTTCTTTTTATACTCACATTGTTTATTAATTGTGAATTTGTTGTTGATGGACCTGAAGAAAATTTATTTTTGATAGAGTAAAATATAAATGTTGAATTCTACCGTTATGAGCTGTATTTCTTCCATGACTCAGGACGATGTTTCCGGCCTTCGGAAATGAGCGGATTTAATTGGAACCGGTCAGGAGCATGCNTAAAATTAATTAATTTCTTTTTATACTCACATTGTTTATTAATTGTGAATTTGTTGTTGATGGACCTGAAGAAAATTTACTTTTGATAGAGTAAAATAAAAATGTTGAATTCTACCGTTATGAGATGTATTTCTTCCATGAATCAATTTTATTCTTGATCTAATTGCAGCTGTTGTACGACAACCAACTCGAAGAACAACTAAGATAAAAAAAGAGACTTGTTTAGAAGCAAGGAAACAAAAAAAAAGAAAATAGAAGTAAATGCTACCTGTGAACATTTGTATTTAAAACAAATACAATGATTAACGAAAATCGATGGACTAGAAATAAGACAATCTAAAATAAGAGATATTCAATTCGAATGATTAACTGTCCCGAAAGAACATAGATGATGAATTATCGGAGAACTGTGACATGAGCATCAACAAAAAATACAAATATCTGTGTTACTACAACTGACTATATGTTGAAGAAAAAAAAGCGAATAATGATTACGTATATTCTATTTTACAGGAGAAGAAAGAAAAGGAGATTTTTGTGGAAATAATAAATAGATAGACTGACATACAATGCGTAAGAAAGAGTGTTCAAATACACACACACACACACACACACACACATATATATATATATATATATATATATAAAGAAAACAGTAAATAACAAAAAGTATACATTTTTTGAATCATATGGAATGAGCTTCAATTTTTGATATGTATTCAAAAAGCAATTATTTTATATAAAGAAGAGAAGGAGTATCCATCTAAAATGGACAAAAAGACATCATTTCACCTAATAATTTATTTTTATTTATTTCAATTATTTGTTTTTTTGTTCGGGCCTAAACACATAACAATAATTTATATACGACATGGACAAACAAAAAACAAAACATGTAATATGTATCTACAAAACCCATGATGTCATATTTATTTAACCACGTCTATTTGCAATATTTTCTCTTTCATCATATTGATTTAAACCTAATGTAAAACAATAACTAGTAATACAATCGCCGGGCTAGAAAATAAAATTTATTTAAAACCATTTGAATAAAAATAAAAATTTGTTAATATACTTTTGGAAAAATAGCAATGAGTGCACCAGCACGTGAATAAAATTGTTCTTTAAGTGATATAATGATACATTGAAATTTTGATGCCAATTGTTCACGAATAAAATCAGCTACTTTACCAATATTTGTATTATCAAGAGCAACATCAACTTCATCAAGCAAAAAGAGTGGAGCTGATTTAAAACTGAAAAAAAAAAAACAAATAAATCGAATTGAATCAAAAGTTTTTTTAAATAATTACCTTTGATAAAGCAAATAAAAGACAAATAGCAGCAGCAGCTTTTTCTCCACTAGATAAATTTTTCATAGCCTGAAAACATTTACCAGGTGCAGTACAATTATATGTAATACCATCACAATATGATTCTTTAGCATTTTCAGCTGTTAAACAAGCAACAGCATCTTGAAAATTTGTTAATGATTTATAAATATCATCAATACATGTTGAAACATGTTCATAAAATGTATTAAAGCAATCATAATGTTCTTTTTCTAATTTTTTTCAAATGCTTGTCTTTTACGTTTAGCTGCATTACGTGTATGTTCAAATTCAGCATTTGTTATTAATTCAAATGTTGCTTTAACTTCACGTGAACATGCATCAATAGCTGATGTTTGTGGTAAATGTTTTTTGTAATTGAATTTCAATATCGGACATTTGTTTAATTAATGATTTTCCTTCTTTATTAACTTGTTCATAATTAATTTTCTTTAAATCATCATGTAAACGTTTATAATTTAATTCAAATTTATCTTCTATATCATAGATTTGTTTTGTTTCAAGTTGACTTGGATAATTTCGATCATCATTTGATGCTGTTGATGAATCAGTTGTTGTTGTTGTTGTTGATTGTATTGGAATATTTGTATCATCAGATAATGTTATTTCAGTAAGTAGTATAACAGTCATTGAACCAGAATTTCTAGGAAATGGTAATAAAATTTCATTAAGCTAGAAAGAAAAATGAAATAATATGACTAACTTATCATACGAACATTTGAAACTTTTAGCAAAACAGGCTTTGAGAATAGATATGAACATGATCGTCCTTGTTATATCAAACAAAGTTGGAAACAAATTTTCCCATTGGCGGGCCACCAGAGGGCAATTGGTGGCAATTGCCATACCACAAAAAATATGAAAATTAAAAACTTGCCTAAGAAATAGTATTGGATAAGAAAGTTTGTCAGGCATTGCCTTTTTCAATACTAAGAAAGATTCGACATTTATATATTCCACTGGTCAAAAATAGTTTTACAAAGTACTTTTAATATATGATCACTATAAATGAACATTTTGAGACGAGTAATTATATATTCGGATAGGGCGTGGAGTTCTCTGTAATCGTGTATATATTTGATTTAAATTGTATATGCTTATAAAAAAGATACCTTAAAGAATAAAGAACGCACTCTCGTTATCAGAGTTCTGATTATGTTCAATTTTTCTTATCCCCTTTTGTTCATCAGATAAGTAGCAAAGTGAAAACTGAAAAAAATACAGAATGATAGAGTATTTCACCCGCTTTCAGAATATAGGCTTACTTTTGTTATAACTTGTTCTTTTGTTGAAAATAAACTTGAAAAAGAAAGAAAGCAGGATAAAAATAGCGTGAAAATTT